ATGCCCAACCTCCACCAGTGACTGAACTGACCCTTGGAGTGGCAGCAAGAGCCCAGGCCCTGGCTGGACTACAAGGATACAGCATGAACTTGGGGCACATGGGCAACACCTGTGAAGGGAGAGTAGAGTATGAGAAACCAACCAAGAATGAAAGGGCCTTCCAAAACAGTAAAAAGAGCTTCATTTTCTACCCAGCACCACACGCTCAGACTGCCTGCGAGGCCCATCGGCACAATCTCATGAGACGTCATTCTGTAACAAACTCCCTCGCTCGGTTTGAACCTCTTCCCTGTCTCTCTTCAGAACACTTTCTAGTGAGTGAGACAAGAAGAAGACCCAAGAGAGAAGGGAGTGGACACTTCAACCCCCCTCTCAGTCGCCCGGTCTGCCTGGCCAGAGGTCAGCTCTCCAACCAGTTATTTTGCTGTCCTGGAACTGTTTGTCAGAACATCGGCCATGTCTGAGGGGCAAAAGGGGATTTGAAGATTTGGTACCCCGAATTGACTGACTATCCCTCAGCCCTGCCAAAAAGACAGAGTTGTATGCTAGGACTGACAGCCTCACCTGGAATCGGCAAGAAGAAGTTTTCCACCATTAGCAGAAAGGAGGGTTTATGAGCTAAACTAAGCTCCATTAGAACACAATAAAGAAAGTTCCATTTCTTTCTGCACACTGGAGTTTCATGATTGTGAAATTTGCACCCACCACTCAAAAACTGTCATTGTAATTCCCAGCAGTAAATCTCCAACATGCCAAATGAACAGTGTGTTGTGGCCTCAAAAGGAGGAGAAACCACGTGGACTGGAGTCTTAGAGCCTGTCTCTGTGGGTAGCTGAACCTTTCCATCTGGTATGTGACCTGACACCTTGTCTCAAATCCAACTCCCCATGACCATTAGTTATAATCCTCTCTGCAGCGTGTGACGAAAGCCCTACCTCAAACCAAAGAAAGAGAAACGTATTTGCTCGCAAAAGCGAATGATCCAGAGGCATTCCTTGCAACTTCAGGTTCAGCTTGATCCAGGGTTCACGTGATTTCTCTGATAGCTCCCTCTCTCTGTCTCCTCTCTAGAGTTCTCAGGTCCATGTCTGTAATGTTGGACCCACTCTCCAGTTGTGTTCTCATAAGTTAACTGCCACCATTCCAGACAGAGTCCTTGCCCCTCATGCCAACAGGTAATCCAAACAAACGCAAGGATTTGCAAAATTGCATCTCCTCAGCTGCCCTGGGTGGGTTTCATAGGTAGGCTTTTGGTCATGTGAACATGACTAGTCAGGAGGATGGAATGTGCTGATTGGCTGAAATAATAGAGTCAGCTCTACCCACAATGCATTGCTGGGGAGGGGTCCAGTCATGCAGCTCTAGAAAAGGATGCTGGTGGCAAAATCATATAAGTCCAGTATTCTGTCTCCGATTATAATGCACAGTTGAGTTATTTTTCCTTGCAAGAGAGACAGACTATTGCTCACCCTGGGAAATATTCCATGTCTTCCCATGACAGAGTTTGGGGAAACTTCCCATAAGCTCCTTTGACTAGGCAATGCCATTGACTACAAGGAGGATGAATTTATTCAAGCTACTTTGGTTAAAGAAAAAAATGGTGAAGATGAGAGGAACAGGCTGTTATGCTACAGAGCAGCAGTTCTCAACCTGTGGGTCGTGACCCCTTTGGGAGTCAAACGACCCCTTCACAGGGGTCGCCTAAGACCATCAGAAAACACATATTAACACATATTATATTAAGACTGTTACCCATGCTACACCATACTTCAAGACAAAATATCTTGATTTGTAATTAGAAATAAATAAAGAGAAAGAAATATTTCACAATATATAATTACATATTGTTTTTGTGATTAATCACTGTGCTTTAACTATGTTCAATTGGTAACAATGAAAATACATCCTGCATATCAGATATTTACATAATGATTCATAACAGTAGCAAAATGACAGTTATTAAGTAGCAACGAAAATAATTTTATGGTTGGGGGTCACCACAACATGAGGAACTGAATTAAAGGGTCACAGGATGAGGAAGGTTAAGAACCACTGTGTGGAGGGTCTTACAGACCCTAAAACCAGGTAGGTACCATGTCTCAGGGTAAATGAAGAGTAAGCCATGAAAACCACGGGGCCCGGAAGCTGCTCTCTCTGGTTTCCGTCTCTCCTCCTGCAGGTCTGTGTAACCCTTTTCTCTTATTTCCATCAAAGCTTCCTCTGCTTCTCAGTCCACAGGGTGGGCCTTGGCCACCCCAAAGCTCCAGTAGGCAGTCAACATTGGATAGCATGGTGCTGTCTCCTCCTTTAACTTCTTCCCTTTTTATAAGTCATTAGTTTCATACCTGGCTCCAGGTGGACCCTGTTTCCTTGTTGTTGGATGCTATTGAGTTGGTTCTAACTCAGCAACCCTAAGTACAATGGAATGAAACACTGCCCTGTCCTGCACCGTCCTCACAATTGTTCTTGAGTTTTAGCCCATCATTGCAGCCATGGTGTCAACCCATCTTCTCGAAGGTCTTCCTCTTTTTCACCGCCTCTCTACTTTACCAAGCATGGTACCCTTCTCCAGGGTCCAGTCGCTCCTCTTGGGTGAGGAATCCTCCCAGTTGACTTTGGGTGGAATCCTCAAGTGTGCAACCAAGTATGACCGAGGGAGAACTAATTGGCGTCAACTTCCAGGACCGCCCAAGAACTGTAGACACTGAGAGGTTACTTAACCCTCTCAAAGCATGCCTCCCAGGGTACAGAGCCTCACTTTTCATGGCTAAATTACAATCACACTCGGCTCTGAGTAAACATCTAAATCTGTCATCAGACATCCTCTTAGGTTAATTGGACTTGTCCCTTATCTTAGACGGAAAAGTGGGTTGAACAGCCATCCAGGAAACAAGGGAAAAGAAGTGAGCCTTTCTGCTGGGTCCTGTGAAGATTCAGATCTATTCTTATGCACTTGGGAAAGTTTTTCTCCAACACAGCTTGCTTTGAAAGGTTATTTACATCATCAACGTGCATTCAGATTTGCAAATCAGTTGAGGATGGCAGAAGTACTACTGTGAACCGGGAACAGGTGCAGGATGCTAAGAGCGATAACCACAGGCAAATGACTGCACAACTCGGAGTGACAAATGGGCAGGGGAGAGAGCTGGTTGCTGAGCACTGCTTGTATCCAGGGAGTAAGTCTGTCTGTCTGTCTGGGTCAATCAGAGAAGCAGAACCTAAACTAAAATCCATTGTCGTCAAGCTGATTCCAACTCATAGCAACCCTGTATGGACAGAATAGAACTACCCTCTCGGATTCCAAGGCCACAACTCCTTACAGAAGCATCCCGCCACATCTCCCCCCAGCAGAGCAGTCGGTGGATTCAAGTCTTCCATTCTGGCCAGCAGTCAAGTGTTTGAACGACTGCGCCACCAGGAATCCTTATAAGCAGAGCCTAAGTAACTTACTGGGTAAATCTGGGGCACAAGACCTCTTTAAAGTGTTGAAGGGCACAGATATTACTTGGAGAGCTAGGGTGAGCCTGACCCAAGCCATGGTCTTTTCAGTGGCCTCAGATGCATGTGCAAGTTCGGCATTGAATAAGGAAGGGTGAAGAGGAATTGGTGCATTTGGATTATGAAGCTGGCAAAGGATATTAAAAGTACCACCGATTGCCAAAATACAAACAGATTCGTCTTGGAAGAAGTGTGGCCAGAATGCTCCTTAGAAGCCAGGATGGTGTAGTAGTTAGATTTTATGTCAACTTGAATGGGTTGGGGCGCAATCCAATCCATCAGTAAAATCACAGACCGGTGCTGCCCCCTAGGGAGTGTGATCTTCCTAGAAAGGAGTAACTGGGAACTAACTTCCTTCTCTCTCTCTCCCCCTTCGCCTTCCTGCGTGTTGTACTCTGTGCCTGTCTCGAGAGGAAGCTCCACACGGGCCGGCCCAGCCCTGAGAGCTATCGGTGCCCTGCCATATTTCCACGGATTTTGGATCCATGCAACTCTTCACCCACCAGCCTGTAATCTTGCTGCCTCCTGCTTCACCTCGCTGCCTCATCAGCCTGCAGCTATGTGAGTCTGAAGAGGGCCCTGGCTTGCGTCAAACTTATAGACTTGAGTTGGATGGAGCTGAGATGCCTTCTTCATACAAGATCACTTCTTGATATACAGATCTTCCTTATGTATATGGGAGTGTCTGATTCTGTTTCCCTAGACAGCCCAGCCTGACATAGATGGCAAGATGTCATCTCATGTCCATTAGGCATGTTATCAGGAGAAACCAGACCCTGGGGAAGACATCATACTTGGTAAAGTAGAGAGGCAGTAAAAGAGAGGAAGACCTTCAAGGAGATGGATGGACACTGACTGCAACAATGGGCATAAACCTAAGAACAATTGTGAGGATGGTGCTGGGTGGGGCAGTGATCCGTCAGTCAACAGCACCTAACAATAACAACAGGAAATGTAGCTACATACCGTACGTACTCGAGTATAAGCCAACCCAAATATCAGCCAAGGCACCTAATTTTACCACAAAAACTGCATTAAAAATGTGCTGAAAAATTGGCTTATACACAAGTATATATGGTATATATGCTTGTGTGTGGTATATGTTTTGTACTGTGTAACATGTATATATCCAATATAACATCTTATGTAATAACTACATTGTTGTTGTGAGCTGTTATCAGTTGACGCACAACTCATGGAAACCCAATGCACAATGGACCAAGATGCTCCCTGGGCCTGTGTCATTCATATAATTGGTTGAAAACGGAACGTTGTGAATCATAGGATTTCCACTGGCTGATTTTTTGAAGTAGATCATTGGTCTTTCCGCCTAGTCTGTCTCAGTCTGAAAACTCCACTGAAACCTGGTCAGCATCTGTGTTAGTCCCGGTTGACTAGAAAAAAAAATTTATAGACACTCATATGTGTATAAAAAAGAGCTTTATAGGTCCTCGGAGAGCCGCCCCTGGAGCTTCTTGCCGGCGTGCGTTTTCCAGAGAGAGGCGGAAGGGAGCTTCAGTGAGCGCTGGCTGCGGGGTGACGAGCAGGCAGCAGAGATGCAGCTGGAGATGAAATAACGTCCAGCTGGCCCTGAGCAGAATTTCCAGGCCGCCTCTGCACTGACTGGGGCCATAGTGTGTTCTGGTCCTTACACTCAGAGAAGGCCTGGAAGACCTTGGCTTGAAGGAACAGGGAAGAAATGGACACCATGAAGAAGCTCACAAAAGGTTTGTCTTCTCCTGATACTGACTGGCGCCAAGAGAAAAAGCAGAAGCATCACCAGATACTGGTGAGTTGGGATCCTCGCATTTTTGTGAAGTGTTGCTTCATTTCCAGAGAGTAGGCCTTTCTTCTCCTGTCTTAAGAGAAGGAGCCAGTCACAATCCAGGATGTCACTGTGCTTTTCTCGGAGGCAGAATGGGAGACACTGAGCTCTGAGCAGAAGACCCTGTACAGAGACGTGATGCTGGAGATCTACAGGAATCTGCTCTCCGTGGGACCAACATCACAAATCTACTATTCCTCCCGCCTCTTCGCCTTCTCCTGTGTGCAGTTCCTCAGGCAGCATGTGCTTCAGATCTTCCCGGACTTGTGTGCAAAGAATCACTTCCATCCAGCGGATTCCAGTCCAGGGCAGCCAGAGCATCAGGGTTCTGATGAGAACTGCAGGACTGAAAACACACAAGGGCGGGAGAGAGAAGCCTCCAAACCCTTGTGTGGGAGCACAGGGGAGAGAGAGACCGCAAGAGCATCCTCCAGTTCTGCCCGAGGACAGTCAGCAAGGCCCAGAAAACACAACACAGTGGTAGGAATGAAGGCCGACTCTGCCCCGAGGGGAAAAAACTCTGTGGAAACAGACAAGGGTTCGAAGAGATTAGAAACCTCAAGATTTGGAGTAAGTACTTGTAGACAAGATGAGCCAGACTGCAGCTTGAAACCAAACTTCACAAATCAGAAGGCCCTTTCCCAGGAGAAGCCACATGTATACAGTGAGTGTTGCCAAGGCCTTACTCAGAAATCCTATTTCCTTCAGCAACAAAGAATACACTCAGATGAGAAACATGATGTGTTTCCGCCAGGCTGGAGCCTCAAGTCATCTCTCATCACACACCCGAGGACACGCTCAGGGCAGAAGCCATGTGGGTGCATAGAATGTGCACAGGGCTTTACCTGCAAACCAGCTGTCATCACACACCAGAGGATACACTCAGGGGAGAAATCATATGTGTGTAAGGAATGTGGGCAATGCTTTAGCTGGAAATCAGCTTTCATCAGACACCAGTGGGCACACTCAGAGGAAAAACCTTATACCTGTAAGGAGTGTGCCCGAGGCTTTAGCCGAAAGTCACATCTCATCAGACATGAGAGGACACACACAGGTGAGAGACCTTATGTATGTCAGGAATGTGGGCGAGGCTTTAGTGTCAGGTAAATTCTCATCATACATCAAAGCACACACTCAGGGGAGAAACCTTACAGGTGTCAGGAGTGTGGATGAGACTTTAGTCAAAAGTTATATCTCAGCAGACACCAAAGGACACACTTGGGGGAGAAACCACATGTGTGTAAGGAGTGTGGGCGAGCCTTTAGCTTGAAGGGAGATCTCATCAAACACCAGAGGATACACTCAGGGGAGAAGCCATATGTGTGTAAAGAGTGTGAGAGACCCTTTAGCCGAAAGTCAACTGTCATCAGACACCTGAGGACACACACAGGTGAGAGACCTTATGTATGTAAGGAATGTGGGCGAGGCTTTGGCCGAAAGTCAACTCTCAGCATGCATCAGAGGACACACACAGGGGAGAAGCCATATGTGTGCAAGGAATGTGGGCGAGGCTTTAGCCAGAGGGCATATCTCATCACTCACGAGAGGACACACACAGGGGAGAAACCTTACATGTGTACGGACTGTGGACGAGGCTTTGGCCAACAGTCACATCTCACTGCACACCAGAGGAAGCACTTGGGAAAAACCACATGTGTGTAAGGAGTGTGGGCCAGGCTTCAGCCAAAAAAGCCATCTCAACAGACACCAGAGGACACACTCAGGGGAGAAGCCACATGTGTGCAAGGAGTATAAGTGAGGCTTCCGCCAAAAAAACCATCTCAACTGACACCAGAGGACGCTGGTGAGAAGCCACATGTGTGCAAGGAATGTGGGCGAGGCTTCGGCCGAAAGACAAATCTCATCAAACACCAGAGGACACACTCAGGGAGAAGCCACATGTGTGTAAAGAGTTTGGGCTTCAGCCAAAAATCAATTCTCATCAAACACCAAAGGGAAACTCTCCCTGGAGGTGAGCCACACACTATCTACTTCACTGTCTTGTTGAAGAGCCATTTTGATCCACGCTGATGGCAACCAGAGTCCTGGAGATGTGTTCACTGCCATTGGATCTAGCAGACTTTTCACCTACCAGCCTGTGTGATCTTGCTGCTATCTGCACCATTGCTTGACTCTGAAGAGGGATTTATGGACTAGTATGGGATTTTGGACTTTATCTAGACTGGGATGTGTGCTTGGTATATAGCTCTTCATATAAAGCTCTCAAACACTTAAAAAAAAAAAGAGCTTTATATTAAAAAGCAATAGTATATTAAGAATGCATTCCAGCCCCGTCCAGATCAACTCCTTAAGTCTGACATTAGCCCATATGTATGATATCAGTCTGTAAATTCCTCTTCAGACTCACACAACACATGCAATGATGCCAAGTACAGGAAGATCACAGGCCAGTAATTGGAAAGTCTTGTGGATCCGGTGGCAGTGGAAGCATCTCAGCCCTGCCATGAGCTCCATGTGGCTTGTCAGCAGGAAGATGAAGCAGAGAGAGTGTGGGTCCAGCCTCCAGTGAGCGATTTATCTCCGTTGCGCCTCTAAATTAGATCATCAAGCTACAACCTGATTGACAGGATAAACCCTACTCCTTCACTCTTAATAGTCTCAAGTTGACACCAGATTATGTAACTACCACAGCATCATAGCAACACACAAGCTTCCACTGATGATAGGTGGTGGCTGTGTCTGGGGTGCATTGACCAGAAACCAAGGCTAGGCCTCCTTCATGGAAGGTGTGATGGTTAGAGATTTTGTCAACTTCCTGGTACCTGTGTGGAGACAGGGATAGATTCTTACCTATCTGTTAGGTTGAAGCCTGAGGGTATCTCCTTGTAGTGTGGCCTTTTTATAAGAGAGACACTGAGAATTTATTTCTCTCATTCTCTTTGCCGTCCTGCTTCACTGGGTCTGGGTCTCAAGTCTGAAGCTGGTGGCCCATGCAGCCTGCTGAGTCTGGGAGCTGTGCGGCTCTGCCATGTTCATGTGCACCGTTGATCTTTAAGACACTTCACCCACCAGCCTGTGTTGTACCAGCTTCCAGCTTTCAACTCTGGCTTCATCCATAGGCAGCTGAATGAGTCTAGGAGCTGCCAGCTAGCAGTAGATCCATAGACCTGAGTTGGACTGGGCTGGGCCCCTCTCTTGATAAAAAATTATTTCTTGATTTGAAGTGCTTTCTTATATATGTGTGAGTGCCACTGGTTTCATTTCTCTAGAAAATTCTATCTAAAACAGAAGGCAAGAGTTCTACCACTGAACTATCAATGCCCCCAAATAGTCATATTCTATATATCAGGGGTTTGGCCTGACTCAACCGTGGGAGCTCGTTAAGCATCCTCTGTAGGGCTCTTGTCTTTGCTGCGGATGTTGGAGAGTGAAGTCCCCAGGGCAGGCATCCAGGAGTAGAACTGGGAGTTCAGGCTGGTGTATGCAGAAGTCCAATGTTGGCCCAGTGAATCCACCATCAGTAGTCTGCTGATGGTGCCTGAGATTGGCAAGTGATGCAACAGGATAGTGAAGAACCAGGCTCGAGATCCTGCTCTGACAGAAGGTGAAGAGCTAAAGAGATTCTGACTCTCCTTCATCTCCCTCTCTCTTATGCAAAGAGGCTCTGATGCCAAGGAGGTGTCATCAGGGTGCAACACAACGGATGGCTTGGGCTCTGCCCCCACCCTTACCTCGGAGAGTCTCGTTGACATAATCCTTCACCATCACACCAAGGGATTCAGCTGGAAAAGGTGCTCTTGTGGGAGTTTGGGGGTTAGGGGACCGTAAATCTGCAACCACTTTGCAGCTCACAAACCTTGTTGCTGATCGGGTGCCTCATTGGCATGAGGGGTCAGAGGGACTTGCATTTGCTTGATCTTTCCCACGGATCTCTCAACTTCTCCTCCTGGTCCTGTGTAGGAGAAGCTTAACTCCATGCTGATGCCTCAGGCAACTTCCCCCAGACACAGACCACGCAGGTGGTGTCGAATCAGCTCCAGCTCCTGGCAACCCTCGGTACGAAAGAACAAAACAGTTTCTGGTTCTGTGCCATCCTCATGATTGCTAAGCTTGAGCCCCTTTGCTGCAGCCACTGTGTCAAGCCAGCTCCTTAAAAGTCTCCTTGATATCACCGAACGTCTCCTTTAGCGAGCCCGATGTCCTTTGGCGGAGACTGGTCCTTGTGATAACAAATGCCAAGAAAGATGAAATCTCTCCATCCTTGCTAGGAAGGAGCATTCTGGTTTCATTTTCTCCCAGACTGATTCGTTCAGTTTTCGGGTAGCCCATGCTATATTCAATATTCTTTGACAACACCACTGTTCAAATGCCAATCACTTGATCTTTGTTTCTCGTGGTCCACCCTCTGCATATATATAAGACAAATATAAAATCACATTTGCTATCGTCAAGTTGATTCCAACTCACAGCGACGCTGTGCACATACCAAACAACTGAAAGAGCTTGAGTCAGGACATCTGAGTCATCAGAGTGACATCACGACTTTTTAATACTTTTTTTTTTTTTAGTACTCTTAGGAGGTCTTTTAAAGCATATTTGCCCAATGTGATAGGCCTTTTACTTCTCAACTGCTACATCTAAGGACACTGATTATTAATTAAAGAATAATAAAAGTCTTGACATGTTGAATCTTTCAGGCACCCTGGTGGTGTAGTGGTTACACATTGAACTGCTAGCCACAAAATCCCTCTGTCGTTTTTCATACACTCTCGCTTCATCTATGATGCGGTACAATCTGCATCGAAGGTTTTAGTGTGTTATCTTCATCCATATGTGATATCCTTAGTACTTATATTTCTCAATAAAGGACCATCTTTCCTGATGAGGTAGTAAAATTCCCGGAACATTCTCATTGGCTGAGCTGAACTTACATGTTCATCTTTGATCCTTTTTGCAGGAAGAGAAAGGGAGTTATCTTATTGGCTGGCTGTGGGGATAGGTAGAGTTAGTCATCCCCCGAGTAGAAATACATAGATCCAGAGTAGAAATTACTCTGTCATAATCTGTCACCAGCTCCCAGATGGTAATTGGATCCTTAGCTTGTGCGCACACACTTGAAAACAGAGGTTTTCAAGTTAACGATGAAATTGTGGACCTGTGTAGGCTTCAGAGATATGTCCTGGATGAGAAGATTGTAGGTGGACCCAAAATATGCCACTCCACCACACAGAAGGAAAAGATGGATTCATTAATTTTGACGGTCATAACCATCAACTCAATAAGCCAAGCTCACTGCCATTGTATCAATTCCAACGCATAGCAGCCCTCCCGGACGGGGGAGGACTGCCCTGTGGTTTCTGAGGCTGTGACTCTGACAGTATAGAAAGCTGGTGGTTTTGAACTGCTGACCTTGCGGCTAGCAACCCAACACGTAACCACTGTAACACCTGGTCCCTCTAATCTGGTTATTTGCATGTGTGCTTTAATTACATTAGGGTGTAGATATTTTTTAAGTAAATAATAGTTCTAAAGTAAATGAATCAATTTGATTGCACAGTGATCCTACAGGAGTGGGGCTGGGGTGGGGGTGGGGGGTCTTTAAATGAATGTATGGGACACTGTCTTGTTCCCTGAAGGAAACGTCATACTCACGTTAGCTGCAAAGCAGCCACTGAGCAAGTATCACACCTCACACCCTTGAGATGTTGGCCTGGTTTCATAATAAGACGGTATTTTAAGTGCACTTAAAAATCCAAGTCGCTGCTCCCTAAAATTCACAGTAGCTTCTTATCAAAGCTGCCTTCTGCAGCACTGCCTGCTAGCTCGCATTAGGACTTCAATCTCTCCTTGAAAGCAAAATCAATTACTTCCTCCAATTATTGAGTGGTCCTCAGCTATTTTGGTAGTCTCTTATAAGATATTGCAGGATATTTCTGTTATTCAGCAGGAACTAGGAATGACCCAACATAGACCCCAAACTGGAAGTGACAGCAAGTGTCACTTTGTCGGTTAGGGAGGAGCTAATACTGGTCCTTATCATAAACGTCATCAAAGGTATCTTATACACCATGTGGAAACTATCCAGCCATTTAGTCAAGTGTAATGAAACGTGTGGGGGCAGAACTCTAGATAGAAAGTATTGAAAAATGATGTCCATCATGGGAACTCTTGAGGTGCTCACAACCTTGGAGGAAATCGTGAGCAAGGTTTGCACATTATTTTTAGATCTACATTTTCCTCTGGTCAGCAAAAATCATGATTTCCATCATAAACAAAAAAAGAAAGCTCTAAGCTGCCACCAGCTCCCCGAGAATAATTGAATCCTTAGCTGGTGCACACACTTGAATATGGAGGTGGACATCCCATCTGTTAACTGTTAGACGAGAACCTGTGCGTGGTTTCTTGCTCATTAAACAGATCTCTCGGTTGGTAGTTGTTTCTGTGGATTATTGATTAGCCATGAATTCTTTTGGGGAGAAATGCAGAATTTTAATCCATAGGGGCTAAAATGATGTATCTGTAACTTTCAGTCTTAATGTTCCCCACTATGCCATGGGCATGTCCATATTTACTTCATTAAGAAAGGGAACTCCAGTTTTCAAAGTATTAAAAATGGGCTCCCTCCCCATCCTAGTGGCAAGTGCTTTCCAAGCAAGTAAAAACACTGACCAAAAAACTTAAAGCCACCAATGGATATGAAGGAGGCCTGTGGTACTATGTTACTCATTGGGCTGTGGTTCAAAACCACTAGCATACCATTGGGGACAGACTGGGCTTTCGGCCCTCATAAACAGTGACAGTCTCAGAAACCCACAGGGGGTTGCTATGAGTCAGCAGTGGCTCGATGGCAGGGAGTGAGAGGATATGGGACACAGAAAGTCCTTGACTTACCAAGCATCCTCAGCATGGTAGATGGCACGGAGGGCGATCTGTTGTTCCCCTGTGTTGTGTTTTATGGGTCTTGTTTTCAGTAATATGTTGCAGTGTGTGATTTGCTGGTGTTATCATTCTCAGATGTTCACTTACAGATGTTCAGTTTCATAATTTACTGTTCGAAAACACTGCCGGGTTTATAAAGATACTGATAATAGAACTGGATTAGGAAGGAGTCCTCTGAATCAAGTCCCATTATACGTTGGAGGCAGTCTTATTAACCATCTGAAGACGTCTTAAGAACCTGTAGTGTGAAAATGATGCACCTTGTCAGTGGAAAGCGAGGCACTTGCTGATGAAGATCAAGGATGGCGGCCTTCAGGATGACATCAAGGATGACA